ATGGATTGATGGGAGCGTGGGGGGGTTAGGAGGGTAGATGGGCATGGGGGAGGACACAGGCTGAAGGGATGGATTGATGGGAGCGTGGGGGGGTTAGGAGGGTAGATGGGCATGGGGGAGGACACAGGCTGAAGGGATGGATTGAGTGTGGTGGAGCCCTAGCTTATTTGGGGAGAGGGATCCCCCCACACCCAGGCCCCATGGGAAGACGGATCCCCCAAACCCAGGCCCTATGGGGAGAGGATCCCCCCATTCCAGGACCCATGAAGAGAGGGGACCCCACAAACACAGGCCCCATGGGAAGAGGGATGCCCCACAAAACAAGGCCCCATGGGAAGACGGATCCCCCCAAACCCAGGCCCTATGGGGAGAGGATCCCCCCATTCCAGGACCCATGAGGAGAGGGGACCCCACAAACACAGGCCCCATGGGAAGAGGGATGCCCCACAAAACAAGGCCCCATGGGAAGAGGGGTTCACCACAAACCTAAACGCCATGGGGAGACGGGATCCCTGCAAATTCAGACTCCAGCTTAGCTGACCCCCTCAAAGCTCCTAGGTGGCTCTTGGCCCTGGGGGAAGCCGCGGCCAGGGGCCGGGGCAGCAGGATGCCCTGTGGCTGGAGGGTCCTTCCTTCGGGGGGAGGGCTGGGGCAGCAGATCTCACTGGCAGCCCCGTTGCGCGAGGGGGGAAGGGGGTCTCGGCTTGGCTTGCAGTGAGGCCGTGGCGGTGGGGGGCTCGGGCTGGGAGCCACGGGCCCGGAGGAGCAAAGCCCAGGGCAGGGCGGCGAGGGAGGTGGGCTCGGGGCCCTGCAGCCAGGTTGGAACGAGGGTCCCCTGGGCCGAGGCTGACTCAGCCCACAGACCCAGCGTGGCAGCTGTGAGCTTGGGTCCATCCTGACTGGCCGGGAGGGTCCAGGGGGCTGGGCTGTGCTCCCCCACGGTGCCCTGGTGGAATCTCCCAAAAGCCTTTGCTCTCCCCCCCCCCCCCCCCCCCGCCGGCTCT